TGACAGGTGATCTTTAGTCCATTTTGAGCATCACTGTGAGGCTCAGCTGAGTTTAGTGTAGCTAAAAGTCTTATGACTGTGTTGAAGAAAATAAACAGTAAATAGGCATTCCATATTTCTCCTCATAAAGGGAAAACATACCCTTCCTTCCTTCTCTCTTTCTCCTTCATTCCTTCCTTCCTTTCTCCTGCTCTCCCTCCCTTCCTTCCTATGTCCCCCCCTCCTATTTCCTTTAAAAAAATATTCAATCTCACTCTTAAAATATACTAACAATTTAAAGGACACTGTATACAAATGGACAGATTAGGTATATTCATTAAAGTAAACTTGTTTCAATGTGTCCATGCTTCATTTTCATTCTCTTATAGCTAACCCTCTTAGTCTTCTGGCTGATATAAAATCAATGCAGTAGGAAATCAAAGTAGTGATCTTTATAATTTACGTAGAGGGGTAAAATCAACGCTGTTGTTGCAGGGGAAGCTGTGCTTATTATCTAAATTGTCTATTTGATAGAATTTATAGGATGGTTGGCCAACTTCTAATTTTCATCTCACTTCCCTGGCAAAGTAGGTATAAATTATGTGATTTAAAGAGTAAACTAACTTCTTTTAATAATACAAAAGATAAGTAAATTGTAATCATTTTAAATTGCTTGCTAATTTTAAGGACAAATTATAAGTTTTTTTTGTCTATGTAGAGACATTTTAGGACATAGTTCAACCTGTTCTGTTTTCATTAAATATAGTATGGACTATAATCACTTTGTTTTTCATTTCCTTACCTTTAAATGAAAATTTGTTTTCATCCCTTGCAAAACTGCATTTATTTATCTTTATTTCCTTTTCAAAAATAAATTCCTCATTTCTCCCTAGTTAAAGACGTTCACAATTTTTGTCTGTAGGTCTCAAATATTACCATATGATACTAGATTAGTTACCTTGCTTCAAAGTACAAGATCATACTTCCTATGAGAAGCCCTAATGAATAGTCTTGGTTTTTCTAGGATGCATAAAATCTTCTCAGAACTACAGACTGCTTAGATATAAAGATTGGATGCTTAAAATTATCACTTATTTCTCATGTACATTCCTTTAATGTTATAGAGTTATCTTTCATGATTAAAGTAGCTAACAAAATCATGGCATAACACTCTTGATAGCTTGTAAATTTGACTTCAGAAATTCAAGAGTTTTCTCATTTTTGACAACATTTTGACTATAGAAATTTACAAGGTTTAACAAAATTTTGACTTCAGGAAATGTTTTGAGATTTATCTTTTAAAACAACTTAATTTCTTACTAAAGTTATACTTTATTAAAACAATTTAAAACATTTATTTGTCTTATTCTTATTTCACATTTGAAGTTTTATATTTGCTATTTCCCTGTCATTATTTGAAAAATGAAAAATTTTAAATTATACTAAATGATGAAAATATTACTGAAATCATAATTACACTAGTCAAAATGTTTTGAATTTAAGTTTTAGAGGGAAAAATCCTAAAGCACTCATGCAAAACCATAAGCATGAATTTTTTAAGTGTATTAGAGAACATTGTGTCATTGATTTCATTCATTTCTAATGATTTAATTCATTCCTTTGAGTTCTTGTATCTTTAATATAACTAGCATTTCACTTTCCTTTCAAAAATTAATGTACTAATTCCACTGAAATGAATTTGAGTTTCTTCTAAAAGTCCACATATACAAGATAGGTTAGATTGTGTGAGGGAGTAAAAGGACATTTGCCAGCATTAATTATATTAATGACCAATTATATATTATTAGGGATTAGATCAAAATAAAAGCCTTGCTGTCCCCCTTTGAATACTCAATGTGGCCTGTTTGACAACATGTGTGTGACTCAGTTTGAGACCAATGTGTTCTGTGATGATGAATGTGCAAAAATGTGACCTTTTAAATTCTAAGTGTCAATGTATTCCCTACCAATTGAAGATATTTAATAAAGTAATGGATATAAATTTCTCTCCTCTCTATATAAATTTTCTAAACTTCACTGAAATTTTTACCTGTATACTCAAATATCATGTGTAACTCAGCAAAACAGTCTTTCCAACTGCCCACTTTTGGTTAAAATAGCTGTAAAGTAGTAAATTATAGTTTTATTAATATTTATTTCAAAGCTTTAAGACCACTAATCATCAAAGAACCAGTGTTAGGGAACAAGGAGAAGATGACTTCTTGTGTACATGTAATTTTTAAAGAGTTTTAAACTTTCTTCTCTGTAGAAAATGAGTAATCTTCAATGCACAGGGATAAAATAGATGCCTGCAAGAATGCATAGAATGTACAATAAACTTCTGGATGCCTTATGGGCACTTAGCCATACTTTTTTTTCCCCTCCCCATGGATGTTCAAGTAACTCTTCTATGTAAAGGAATACAATCCTTCAGTTTTGTTTAAGCAAAAGCAAAAAAAAAAAAAAAAAAAAACCATGTATATATTACACAAGTAAGTCACTAAAATACACTGAAATATCATTAAGAATGAACCAAGACTCTTGGTTGCAGCAATAAAATCAGTGTATTTAATTAATATTGTTAGAAAAACTATGTATGAACACATTCTGGGGGAAAAAAGTCATTTAAAAAGTTTGCTTTGTTCCTTGAAATAGCATTGGGATTTTCACTACTCTTTAAAATACTCTGCATGTTCAAACTCAGTAGACTAAACTTAGCCTCAAGGAGCTCTTTGAAAGAAAAAGTATGTGCATCTGAAACAACAGAATGGATATTCAAACATCTTCATGTTAATAATATATTTTGCCTTCTAAACTACAAATGCTGAGGAAGAAAATGCTGATAATTGTTTTTCCTTTTTGAGACCCCAGAAATTATTGAAGAATTAGAAAGCATCATTTTAAATAATATGTTAGTGTTTTAAAAATACACTGTTTCTTTTGAACTGGTTACTTTTTTTTTAGAAACCACTGCAATATTGGTCTCTGTACTATGAGTACAATTAAAATGGGCTGGAACTTTAGAAGCTATATAATCAGTCTTTCCCAAGGCCTCATGGCACACTTGTTAACTTTATGAAGTAAAATATTTTCTAGTATTCTCTTTTTAAATTGATAATCCCATGCCTCTTTCAAAAGTAGTTGAAATAAATATATCTATAGTAGAAAAATTCAGTTTTTTAGTATCAGAAAATATGGTGAAAATTTTTGTGTGAGCTGGAAATGTACCTATTGCTTGGGCCTAACACATGAATATATTTAAGCAAAAGAAGACAAAGACCCTGTAAAATGTACTTACATTTGTACATGAGAGGAATATGCCAGTTCTTATGGAAACAATTTTTATGAAGATTGTAACTTTTATGCCCACATTTTATTGTATTTATTTTCCTCTTTTAAAATATTTTAAGAATCTATGCTTATGAAGTGTACACTTTCCTTTTCAACACCAAGTTGAATATGATGAGGATGATCAACTTAAATTTTCTCTAAGACTATTAACAAACAGTGTTGTGTTAGGTCATAAAATATTTAAATAATAAACATAATGAACTTGGGTGCTATTAATATTATGTAACATTTACACAACTCTGCCCTGTAAAACATCCCCTGTGTAAATCAGATAGCTGCAAGTTTTCAACTGACATTTTACGACTGATGAGAAACAAGGAGTTCAGAATGAAAACGAGAGATGGGAAGAAAATATGAGTTGATTATAGGTATTTGTTTCATCAAGATTCTAGGGAGACTGTTCGAAATACTTTCACTGCTCCTATGTGCTCACAGATCTGAGGAGCAAGTTATGTATTCCAGAGCCTTCAAAGGAAAACTGAATAGTTACACAATCTGTTACTGATGCTAAATTATTCCATTGTGTCCTTTTGTTGTAAAACAGGTGTTCTTATATTGGGACAAGGTTAAATGTTGACTATATTCATCAGAAACAATCTTTTTTCCAATTAAGTACCTAAATTATGCCCCAAAGTTTTTCAATAAGACTGTCATAAATAATTGCTCAAGACTAAAACACCATTGTTGTGCCTTATCTCTTCCTCCACACAAGAACATGATTTTTTACTTTTCTCTTAAAATTCTTTTTGATGAAAAATGTGTAATCTGCTTCGCTTTTTTGTTCTCCAACTTCGTAAAAATATAAAGGGAAAGATACAATATTTGTGTCTTGAAGGTTATACCCATCTGGAACAATATTTCACTTCTCATAAAGCCACTCCTGTTATTTTACTAAGATAACTGTCTAATATAAATATGTAAAGAGTCCACTGAGTAATCAAAACGGAGCCATAAATTTGGATCATTTTGTTTTTCAAAGGTATTCATTTGCAGCGGCATATAAACATTTTAATAATTCTTTCAAATATGTTCGTGAACATTTTATTAATCTCTTAATTGCTGGAGCCCAGTAGGCACACCCGCGCACTGCATGAGCGTGCACACCCATCTCGAGCAGCAAAGTATCAACTGCCGTATTCCAGAGGTGACAATGACAAGCATTCTGTAATTACAAGTCCACAGTCTCACTCACAAAAAGGCAATTCTGGGAGTCAGGCTGCTGAGTTAAACAAAAAAAAAAAAAAAAAAAAAAGCCAAAAGCAACCAGTTGCCTTAAATTGGAGCTCCCCGCAGCCTTTCGCGCTGAGCGAGGCAAGGCGAAGGCGTAGCTGTCGCGGGGGGGTGGGGGCCGGGACCCCGACACTGTCCAGCGCTCCCCAAGTGGGTCTCCCACGGAGCGCGCCCGCGCAGCCCCGCGCGAGCCGGTGACAGCCGGAGGTGAGCGCCGCGCGCCAGGGAAAGCGTCTAGCGCGTCCACAAAGCACCGGGGCCGCCCCCCGCCGGGGAGAGGCAGCCCCGGCGGCCCGCGCAGGAGGAAGGGCAGGACGGAAGCGGCGGCGGGCCCGCGCGCAGGGGGAAGGCCGGCGGGGAGGCCCAGGGCGGGGAGGCCCACAGCCGGCGCCGCCGCCCGAGCCGCGCGCGCGCGCGGCCGCATCAGCTGAGCGCGCGGCGCGTGTCACGTGGTGCGCGTGTCGAAGGTCACGGCGCGCTCACAATGGAGCTCTCGGAGTATGTGCAGAAAGGCGTCCAGATGCTGGCGGATCCCCGCTCCTTCGACTCCAACGCCTTCACGCTTCTCCTCCGGGCGGCTTTCCAGAGCCTGCTGGACGCCCAGGCGGATGAGGCCGTGTTAGGTAAGCCGCTCGGCCCCGAGCGGGATCGGCCTGGGTGGAGGGGCGCTCGAAGAAGTGCAGCGAGACCGAGCGAGAGGGGCGAGCCCTGGGGAAAGGAAGTCTCCGGGCTTTGCCCTGGCTCCGAACCGAGTCTGGGGATGAAGCTCTGCCAGAACCCAGAGCCGACCCTGAGCATTGTTCTGTCCCCAGTTGGCACCTGCACATTTCCAGCTACATGTTCCCGGTCAGATTTCCCCTCCCAGCTTCTTTGTTCTTTTGGAAAGCCCGTGTTCAAGTCCTGTTTGTGGCCTAAACATCTGAGGTTTTCAATCTGAAAGCAAAAGCTGTTTGACACTTGGACTTCATCAGGGGAGCTCCCTGCAACCCCAGCTTTCAGTGCCAGGCTGGCGAACGTTTTAAAGGGTCTGTTTCCAAAGTAATTACTAGGTCAAACACTGTTGACATTTTGTAACTTGGAGAATACCTCAAGTTCCTGTGATCGTTCCAAAACTCTAGTACCGCGTTTTGTACAGTTTTCCAAGCCTAGAACTTTAAAGTGTGGTGCATAATGTTTGGTTCCGCACCAGTCACCAGGAGGCGAGTCTCTGTTAAGTGGTGCGGTCAGTGATTGCGGAGTGTGGTTGTCAGTATGGATTGAAAGCTTACTTTAAGATGATCGCCTTAGCTAATTTTCTTAAATGTAAATATCCCAACAATTCAAATTTTGGGTTTTTTTTTTGTAGTTTCATGAAGTAAACATTTGTACAAAAAGTATGAAAGTGGAAGTTCTTTAAACGAAAATAGTAACCACCACCTGGGTTAATTTCAGAAAAAGAATAGCTGTCAAAACCTTAAAATATTTTGAAAATTGTATTTTATATTAGGAACTCGTGTCCTTCCCTCACCCCCTCCCGCTTTAATTTATTCATGTCCATGGAGCCAGTTACCCTAAAGTGAATCACTCTTTAGGGGAAAAAAAGCTTTTGCTTAAATTTATACTTTGTAGAATATTTATCTTATTTTACTTTGAATTTACGTCATCCAGTATGAGAATGATCACTGTACAGTTATTTTCTGGAACTATACTTGTTTATAAAAATAATGAAAAAAGAAGAAAAAAAATAAGTGAAGGTAATTGAGACCAGGTAACAGAATTATTAATGTGTTTGTTCTTTTGCCTTTGACCTGGTTGCTCATCTCATTTACTTATAATTGCTAGTCCTTACACATGAATTCTTTCTGTTAACTTGTTAAGAGGTTTTAAAATGCAAATTAAATATCTTTTTTTAAAAAAGAAACAACTCTATACAGAATTTATTATCACAGGCATCACTGGCAATTAATTTATTTTAGATCACCCAGAACTGAAACATATCGATCCACTGGTTTTAAAACATTGTCATGCAGCAGCTGCAACTTACATACTAGAAGCAGGAAAGCAAAGAGCTGACAAATCAACTCTGAGGTACAGGAATTATTTAAATATTTATTTTCAAACTACCTTTATGATCCCAATTTCAGATTTTAAAATTGAACTTTGGCTTCCCCCCCCCCCTTCTCTAGCGCTTCTCTAGAAGATTGTAAATTTGACAGCGAGCGAATAGAACTGTTTTGCACGGAATATCAGGTTAATTACATTTTTTACAATTAACAATGCTATTTTTCTTCAACTCTGTTTGCAAAAATGTGTTTTCTTTCTTTTTTCTTCTCCCCCCCTCTCCCTGCAGAATAATAAGAATTCCCTAGAAATTCTACTGGGAAGGTAGGTACTGTATAAGGTATCAAGCTGAGCCACTTTTCACTTGCAGGTATGAATGGAGAGTGCTGGTGTGAAAACAGGGCCAAAAAAAAAAAAAAAAAAAACCAAACAGGGACCTTGGCCCAAAAAAAGGGACCAAAGGGCAAATGAAAAGAAGTTAAGCTAATGTTTTTAAAGATAAAGTTTATTGAGATGATTTTTAAATATATTTGTACTATTCAGAACTTGAAAATAAAATTTAACAATGTTTTAAGACTGGATTAAAATTGTGTGTGGGTGGTGGTGGACTGTAGACACCATTCTTAGTAAAGATAAATACTGATAAGTTATTCTGTAGATAAGATGTGCAAATTGTCTTTGTATTTTTCAGCATAGGCAGATCTCTCCCTCACATAACTGATGTTTCTTGGCGTTTGGAATATCAGATAAAGGTAAAGTTTAACTGTTTCCAAGGGTAGTAAGGGAACTTTATTAAAAAATAGTTAAAAGTTGAAACATATGTGTTGTGTTGTTTTAGACCAATCAACTTCATAAGATGTACAGACCTGCATATTTGGTGACCTTAAATGTAGAGGTATTTATGCATAAGCTCTTGTCTACAAAATAAATGTCTAAATGAAAATTTAAATTTCCTTGATTTAAATAAACTGCTTTTTTTTCCTTCCCTAGAATACTGATTCACGATCCCACCCAGAGATTAGTTTTAGTTGCAGCATGGAACAATTACAGGTATGGTATTAGGATCTATGAGTATGTCTTTGTTTTTTGTAATGTTTGAGAATTATGCTTAGGGAAATTTCCAAAGAAAAATAACATAATCATGTGTAAGTAGATAATGAAGGTTGGTTAAGGTTTAATGGGAAGGGGGTTTCAAAAGCAATATTTTAACATAGACTTCACTTTTGGAATTAAGGTGTTAACTAATAGAGAATTGGTCTTTATTTGCCATTCCCTCCCTATTAAAAGAAACTTTTGAAGTTAGTATTGAGTGTAAAATTCTCCTATTTGTGTTGTTTGATCCAGTAGAACAAAGCAAAGTTAAGAGTATAACTTTGAAAATGACTTCTTTGCTGTTAGAAACTGACTTTAACTTTCTAAACAAGATTTTCAAAGCATGGTTTTAAATGACCATAAAGGGAGAGTATACATAGGATTCTAAAACTGTTTATATTGACACTGTAAAACTGGGGAGATTCAAAACTTCATTGATCAATGGTTGTGACAATGAAATTATGTCTTACCATTTGTGAAAAATTAAGATCATGACTTGAAAGTTTGATGAATTAAAACCTTTCAAAGGACATGCCAGGCAGTAGTTTTAATGTAAACAACCTAACTTTAAACTTCCAGAAAATGCAAATGTAGCATGATCTTTGTTAGATAACTTGGGAAATTTTCTTTAGCTGTATCTTGTCTGTTAAGAGCATTCGGTAGGAAATCTTACTTCAAATCTGAAGACAAGTAGCCAGCTTGAAGATGAGATCTTTTATAGGAAAATCTTTTAACGGGTAACCGTTTGTCGAAGGTTAAAATCCTTGTGAATTTTAAACTTGGTTAGAAAGTGTCACCCGACTTTTTTCTTGCATCTCTCTCAAGCTTGGTTCAGATTTTCCCGCGTTTTATCCTGAGAGCGTGGGATGATTTACGTCTTTTTTAGGATTTAGTGGGAAAACTTAAAGATGCTTCAAAGAGCCTGGAAAGAGCAACTCAGCTGTAACCTGGAAATGTTGACGATCTGCCCGGTCAGAAGGAAGACCAGAAATGTGTCGCTGTCGGCCGAACCATCGTTTGTGCGAACTGGATGCCCTCCTTTGTAGTAGAAAAGTTTTTCTTTTGAATTTATGCCACTCATCAGTTTTGACACTTATTTTTTTTTTTGCACTGTGCAAGTGTTAAGAGGGAAATTCTGCTTAAGTGAATCATCTTAGCGTTACCTGTGCATTGACCCATTTTGATCCTGTTTTCAAGTGTTACGAAAGGAAAGACAGTATTACCCTCTGAATAAATAAGTTGTTTTCACAAAAAAAGTAGGGAGAGTTTGTTCGTGTTCGAGCTGGCGTGTCATTGCTGTGAAGTGATTAGCGTGAACTGTTAACGACCACCTTTTCTCTGGGCTAAACAGTGGGAAAGGATGCGAACCCCGGGATTTCTCGAAGACCCGAGCCTCGCGCCTCGGGGAGCGGGCGCGGTCGTCCCGCGGCGGGAGGCGGCGGGTCCCGTTACCTCCCCGGAGGGCTCGCCCGCGGGACTCCCGAGGCCCGGCCGCGCCGGCCGCCGCGCGGGGCTCCTGCCCGGAGCGAGCCGCTGCCCGCGCGCGCCCCGCCTTGGCCGCTGGCGGGTGGGGAAGGGGCCGGCGCGGCCGCGGGAAGGCAGGGGCGGGCGCTGTTGTTTCCGCGAGCCCAACTCGGGCGCAGGTTCCGCGCGGCGCCAGCGTCTGGGCCGCAGCCGTGGGGCCGGCGGGGCCGGGCTGGGGGGGGCGGTGACCCGGCGCTCTCCTCAGCGGGCGCCCACGAACATGTGTGCCGCGGGCGGGGGCGGGCGGCGGAAAGAAAGACCTAACGGGGGGGGGGCGGCGCGGGCTGAGCGGCGTGCGGGGCCGAGCGGAGCCCGCGCCGAGCAGGGGGGCGCGTGAGGCGCTGTGGAGAAACGTCTCCGCGGCCGCGCCAGCGCCGCCGCCGCGCGGAGCGGGCGGGGGGCGGGGGGAGGGGGCCGGGTCGCGCGGCCGCGAGGGGAGGGGGCGGCCGCGGCCCGACTACACCGACACTAATTCCCAGGCCGCCCTTAAGGAATGAGGGGAGCACGTGACCCGGTGGGGGGCGGCGGGGGAGGGGGCGGGCGGACTCTGAGCCATTTTGGAGCCGGTGTCAGTTTCCACTCCGCCTTCAGCGGTGCATTTTTTTTCCACCTTCCCCTCCCCCCCTTCATCCTTCCTCCCCTCTCCCTGCCTCTCCGCACGCACACACGGCGCCCCCGCCCGCCCGCCGCCCCCCTCAGCAACTATGAAATAATAATCGTAGTATTAAAGGCAGAGAGCGGGGCGAGACAATGGGGAGGTTGGCGAGGGAGCCCCGCTCCGGCTTAGAAACACCTCCCAGCCCCGCAGAATAATCCCGCTCGCGCCCCCTCCGCGCGCGCCCTCCCCCGAGCGCGGAGCGGGCGGCGGCGGCCGAGGAGGAGGCGGAGAGGAGGAGGCCCCGGAGGAGGAGGCGTTGGAGGCCGAGGCGGAGGAGGAGGAGGCCGCCGAGGAGGAGGAGGCCGCGGCGCAGGAGCAGGAGGAGGCCGGGCCCGGGAGGCGGCATGAGCGCAGCGCGGCGGCCGCGGCGCCTCTCGGCCGCGCTCGTTGCCCATTGACAGCGGCGTCGGCAGCTCGCTCCAAGATGGCCGCTTGGCTCGCATTCATTTTCTGCTGAACGACTTTTAACTTTCATTGTCTTTTCCGCCCGCTCCGATCGCCTCTCGCCGGCTGCTTTTTCCGGGTACGTAGGAGGCGAGGCGCCTCCGGGACGGGGCCGGGGCCCGGGGGGGGCCGCGCGGGGCTCGGGCCGGCCGCGGGGGCGCGGGGAGCGGCCCCCCGCGCCCGGCCCGCGCCGGCCGGGAGGGCGCTGACAGCGTGGGCGCCGAGCCCCGCGCCGCCGCCCGCCCGCCGGCCCCGCGCGCCGCCCGGCCCCGCGCGCTGCCCGCGCCCGCGAGCGCGCGCCCGCCGCCGCCCGCCGCCTCCCGCGGCGCCGGGACCGACCCGCAGCCCGCGCCGCGCCGCCGCCGCCAGCCGGGCTCGGCGCCGCTCCAGCCGCCGCCCGCTCCGGCCCGGGACGCGCCGCGCGCGGCCCCACGGTTTAGTTCTTTTCTCCCCCGGGCTCCCCGCTAGCCCCTCGCGACGCACATGGTCCCGGAGAAGAAGTCTTGTATTTCCAGCCTCGGCGGCTCCCCCGGTCGCGGCGCCCTTTGTTGAGAGGTAGATTTTGATGAAACGGGACGGGATCCTGAAATCGGGAGCTGCCTGGGTCAAGTGGCTTCCCTCCTCTCCCGAAGAAGGGACTTTTGGGGGGCTTAAACTTCCAGGGAGCGCCCCATTTTATAGGGATGGGTTACGTGGGGGGCAGCGATCCCGCCTAGGTGGCTGTTAGGCTGGAGGGAACCCAGACAAAAATATTATTAACTTAACTTGGAGGGACACTTGTGTGAAATTGGATGGCTTGTAAGATGGCGGTTCCCAGTTGTTTCCAAGGGCTCCTGCTTTTGGGTTTAAAAGTGGTCAAGTTTGCAAGGTGTGATCTGTCGGGAGTCTTGGATAAGTTCTGCAAATACTTGGGACGTCGTCAGTGGGAATTGGGCATTTCAAATTTGGAGCTTTTTCTGGAGGGATGATGGTGACTGGACATGAGCCTTGCTGAGGGTTTCTTTTCTTTCTCCCCATCTTTTCCCCACTCTTTGCCCCCTCTCTCGGAACTACAGTTTTGATCTCAACCTCAGCTATGGGATGCACTTAGAACCGTGACTTTCGTCCACTGTGTTTTATAGGTTTTGCTAGGTGTCAGCATAGGTCATGTGGTAAAGAGATGCTTTGGAAAAAGGGGCATTGAAAAGTTGATTGCATATGTTTATTTAGTCTTTTGGGCTTGACAGCACTGCAGCATGCTCTTTTTCCCAGAGATTTACAGTTAATAATTGGAAGTAAACAAGTAAAGAGACTTTGATCATTCCCAATTGCAATAAAAGGATTTAGTGGGCTTAGTGGTCACGGTTCAGTATTTGAAAGAGAAGCATGTATTAACCCTTCCCCTTAAAGTAGGCAAAATTCTGGGTATACTTAATCAAATCCAAGTGTAGGTTAGTGGTATCTAGGCTGTTTTGAGTAGCTTAACCTATATTTTGTAGGAACCTTAACCCTAAGTTCTGAAAACACATCATAAACTCCAATGAATACTTGATACTTATGGATGCAAATTGTTGACTGTATATATGAACTTATTGTAACTACATTAGCATTTGAGTTTTATCTTAAGTAGACTGAGTAGAGTCCCTTAGAGGTTGATTTTTTCATCAGCAAATTTATAAATTTTTTAATAATTGAGTTCATTCCCATACATCTACCCCAAAGTGTAAACGTGTTTGAAATAACCTACCTGTGCAGAGTACATGCCTAGTAACAGTATCTTTAAACCATACAAAAGGCATTATGCATACATGTGTGTATAGACACACTTTTTTTGGTAAGAAAAGCCAGCATTTAATTGCACTTGATAAACCCATTGATACTCTACCATCAAGTTGTTCTTAGATATACATTAAGTGCTCAGATAGCCAAATTCTCTTCAGGAGTCAAATTAACCCCAACTTTACCCATACTTGTATTGGGCTGTGAGCCCCAACTGGGGTTATGGAGTTCATTTGCATTTCTTAGATTTCAATAGCCTAGCTGATTGTTAACATAAGAACTTGCTTCTGTTTTCCTTCATTTTGACATCTCTGGTGTTAGGCCTCCAACTAAACTGACAGCCCCAACTGAGTATGTTATAATGGCAAGTTTTAACTACTGTGTATTTGTACTATTGTGTGTTTGATGCACTTTTGCTTGCTTAACTGGCAGTTTCTGTGTTAGAACTTAGAAGGTCTTAATTTCTAAGGTACACAAGATTGTTTCTTAAGCCTTATCAAGCATGTTTTGGAAAGTCATTAGGGTGCCAGTACTTTCCAGTGATACAAAAGATAAAGAACTGATTTTTATGTAAGTAACAAAGTGATATTTACTAGCATTATAAGTGGTGTTAGGGTTGTGGCCAAATTCTTCTGAACTGAGATAGAGGTGTAGTGTGAATTAAGACTGAAGATGAATTTGAAAGGGTTTTGGTCAAGTACATGTGACTTAAATGTTCAAAGCCAACCAGTAGATAACCTTCCACTGAGGTTTGATTATTCTTTGTATTAGTATTTGTTTGCTGGTGTTGGCTTTCTGTAGAGGAGAAATAAAGGCAGCTTTTTTTTTTTTTAATTATTATTGAAGCCCCTTCCTAAACTTAATGACCAGCGATATTAGTGTGCTATGCTTTCACGGCAAACAGAAGTATTACCTTACTGACTGTCTTTCTAGGAATGCTCCCGCGGTTTCACAAGGAGAGTTTTCTTTAAGAACCAAGACTTGTCTTTAATCACCAACTGCAGTGGATTTAAATATTGCTACTCTTCAGGGATACTGCTCCACCCACAACTTCTCTGCAGTCCCACTTAAGTTTATATTAGCATTATTTTGACAATATTCATCTGAACAAGTAACCCAAAGATAACTGAGGAGTCACACATGAAGTTTTCTGATTGAAATTGATGAAGTTTTCTGATTGAAATCACTGGTTGCCACTGTGGTTACATTTACCAAAGAGAACTTTGTTTTGGTTTTATCGTTGTCTAGTACTCTAAAGCTTTTCAGTTTCAGCGAGTTGAGGTCTGTTGATTAGCATCCCCCTCTTCTGCATTAAAATTCCCTGAAATTAAAACCTTAGGTGCACTTTCAAGTTTCACATGTGCCTAGATTTTTAGTCAAGGCAGCTTTGAGAATGTACTTAAGACAGATCTAGAACCTAGGTCTTATTTCAGGTTCTGAAGTGAGTGAAATGGGGCAAAATGTATTTTTCAGGAACGCTGCACCGAGTAATTGACTTCCCTGTACGCTGGTGTATTGTTGCTGACAGTTCCCTCCCGTGACTGTTCTGTAATATATGATATCTATTGGGAATACCATTTCATCGTGTTAGGGTTTGTATGGAGAGTAGGCTGAGAAAGTGACATTTGTTTTTCTCTCCTATCATTACTCTGGGTTGACAAGGTGTTGATTTAGCGTTGGGAATGGGCTGGTCACATGGTTCTTTACATATTGTCACTATCGAACCGATTAGTTTTTCTTGCCTCCAGCATAGTTCAAACAGAACACAGGGCTTGCCCCCTCCTTCTTGCTGTAAAACAGATTTCAGTTTCCAAAACTTGGTACCGCTCATCTGACCTACAGGAGAACTTCCTATCAGAGAAG